GAATTTAATATGCTCAGTGCTTGAGAATGTTGCAAAGTAGACAATCTTCCAAATTGTTGGTGGCATTTTATGCTAAAATGCTGTGGTATGAAAAACAGTTTCATATTATATATCAGTATTAATAAAATGATCCATACTCATTGCTCATTCTGGAAGACACCAGAAAAGTATTTATGTTCAAACTCATTTTCTCAGTAAAATCACTCTAAATGTCCACTTTCAATTGTGCAACCTGCCACTTTAAGGAGACCTCAGTGAAATCTGAAATCATTTAGCAGACACAGCAGTAGAGTCACATCTTAATAGTGGCACAAACTGTTACCTGAAGGAATGGACTCCTGGTCCTAGGCAATAAAACCCTTTTAGAAGTAGAGTTTGGATTGGTCAAGCTGATCTGCATGTTAGTTAACACTTGGCAAAACAAAGCACAGAACTACAAAACAAAAACAACAAACAACAGAACCTCAATGAAAAGACATGCATAGTTCTCAGTTTCTAATACAGAACACTAAATATGCCAAAAAGCAAGGCATTGTGACCTAGAATACTAAAGAGGATCAGCCAATAGGAAGAGACCTAGAAATAATAAAGATAATGACAGTCAAAGTTGAGTCTCAAGTAGTCATTACCTCTAAGTACAAGTATATAAGGAAAATTACAAAGATAAAATGAACTGGAAAATGAAGAAAATCAACTACAGCCTCTAAGAATGAAGTGTCTGAAACAAAAGTTTCATTGGGTGAAGTGAAGAGCAGATGAGATGCTACAGAGAAACTATCACTGACTCTAAGGACACAGAATATCAGATGTATGAAGGATACAAAGATAAAAGTATTCTTTAGGTCACCAAGACTTCTTGATTTATGGAATAAGCAGGAAACATGTGAAATCAAATCCCTATGAAGAAGCACGGTAATAGAAAAGCATCTGAGGAAAAATATGGTGAAATTTTTCCAAAATTGTTCAAAGTTATAAACCCACATATCTGGGAATCTTAAACTTATTTATTTTTATTTCATTGGTGTTTTGTCTGTATGAGTGTCTGTGTGAGGGTGTTTGACAGATATGAGCTGCCATGTGGGTGCTGGGAATGAACCCAGGTCTTCTGGAAGAGCAGTCAGTGCTCTTAACTGCTGAGTCAACTCTTCAGCCCCAAAATATCTTAATGAATTTCAAAAATATAATAATAAATTGAGATTAAAATACATGATTTTTCAGCTGCTGAAACGCAGGTATAAAGTATCAAAAACAACCATAGGAAAAATATACCTGAAGGTAACAGAAAGGAATGACAGCCGACTTTTGTCAGGAACATGCAAGCCAAGGACAATGGAATGTCTTCAAGGTGTTGAAAGGAAGAGAGAGGTATCAACATGAATGTCTACACTCAGTACAAAAACTCTTTAAAAATCAAGGCAAAGTTACAGCAAAATCAGATAGAACATTATTGGCATACCTAAACTATAAGAAATGGTCTAGAACAGTGGTTTTCTTTTTTTTTATTATTATTATGTATAGTGTTCTGCCTGCATGTATGCCTATAGGCCAGAAGATGGCACCAGATCTCATTACAGATGGTTGTGAGCCACCATGTGGTGCTGGGAATTGAACTCAGGACCTCTGGAAGAGCAACCAGTGCTTTTAACCGCTGAGCCATCTCTCCAGACCCTAGAACAATGGTTTTCAATCCATGGGTCACAACCCCTTTGGGGGTCAAAGGACCCTCTCACAGGGGTGCCTGTGACCTCCATATGTATCCTCTGACCTCCAGATATGTAACCACACACATATGTCTGCAGGTACATGCACACATATACACACAAAAAGTAAGTAAGAATGTAATAAACCTAAAACCAAAAAGTGCTTGGAAAGTACCAAAAAGAGAGTAAATGCTGTAAGACATTTGGTTGTGATTATTCATGGAAGCTAATATAATGTGGGAACAGAATTGATATTCAGGGAGAACAAATATAGAAAACATTGCAAGAGAACAAGTTGAGAGCTAGGGAGAGTATTTTGGCTCTGTTCTGTCCGATCTGTGTGTGTGCAGACGTGACATTGACCTTGGGGCCCCTTCTCTGGCTTCTTCTTCCCTTTCTCATTTCCGACTTCTCTCTTTTGCACTTACTGAGAATCCACTAATGACATATGTTAAATATCAAGACTTTTGTTCTCTCAGATTTTCTGCTGGGAAGGTCACATTCAAAATTAAACTCACTTTTAAAATTAAAACTGAATCCAGAATTAAAAATAGTTCAGCATATTAAGTATAGTGAGAATGACCTCAGAGTTGCCTTCCATTGTGGAAAGCCTGTGTATCCATGGACATAATCCAACATGCATTGTTACCATAAGGAAAGCTAGTGTAGACTCGAGACTTTCAGGAGTCAAGTGCGGGTTTAAAGGTGTTCTCCACCACTGCCTGGAAAAAGCCTAACTTCTTATACTTGTAAATTATACTTGTGGTCTCAATGTGAAATGTATCCTGTCTGCTCATGTATTTGAACACTTGGTCAGCTAGTGGATCTGTTCTGGAAGGTTGTGGAATATTTTGTACATGGGCCCTAGTTAGCACATACAGAGCCACAAGGGCAAGGGTTGTAGGCTAGCCCTGTGTCCACTGAGCTCTCTGCTTCCTGGCTCTTTTCTCGTATTGAAAAGCTACCACAAGCTCCCTGCTCTCTCCAGTGCCTTCCCCACTGTGACGGCCTTTACGACCTGAAACAGGGGCCAACATAAGTCTTTCCCTCCATTTCCAGTTTGTGGCTGGGTTTCTGTTCACAGCAACGAGGAAGGTAATGAAATAAAGCGTTTGCAGATGTTGCTAAGTTAGGATGAAATCACAACCGGGCTAGGGTAGGGGGACTTTGGACTCAGGCGCACAGGTTAAAGGCTACGTGAAGACAGAGTGTGAGGACAGGCTGCCAATGATCACCGTAGCCACTAGCAACCGTTAGAAGCCATAAGAAGTAAGGATGGGTTATTTTCCAGACTCTTTGGAAGTAACATGGGCCCTCTGATAACCGGATCTCAGAACTCTAGCCCATAGAATTCTGAGTAGTGCAAGTCACTCAGTTTGCTGGGCAGTGCCAGCGCAAGCCCGCAGAAAGCACAGTATCCTCAGCTAGGTCCCAGTCACAAAACCTGCACTGTTCGCAAACCTGCAAAAACAATAACCAGATTCCCTCTCCTCCCAGAGAAAACAAACAAACAAACAAACAACAACAACAACAACAAAAACTGGACAAAAGCCATCAAAGAGCATCAAGACAGCAGTTGCTTGCAGTAGGGAGACATGACCTGGGACTCCCCCAGCTCACTGCTTGAGAAGCACATTGAGACTGCAGGGCAGGCAAAGGCGGCCAGCCTCAGCAGCCCACCAGCCTGCCTGCTGAATAAAACCCAGCTGGGGTGAGGGAATGCTGCAGGCCGCAGAAATATATCCTAAGAACTCAGCTGGTTATGGCAAAGTCACCACCTGGAGGGATCAAGGAATTCCTTCAGAGGAAGCCAAATTCCAAGGAGCTTTTGGTGTTATTTGGCTCGTTGTATATCAGCTGTCTTCTGTTATGAAAATCATGAGTGCCTTCATAGTTTTCCCAATTGACTTTTCCCTAAGAAGGGCTAAGAGTGTGGACTGATCACCCTCTGGACATACATATTCCAGGTATTTGGAGAACAGCCTCGGGAAAGGCTTCCTCTGGAATCAGATATCTCCCTTAGCCACTTTCAAGGACTAGCAGTAATAATAGTCCACATGTCCACATGCAAGTCTCCTGATTTAAGATAAATTCCACAAGGAGACACTGCCTAGGTCAGGTGGATGTTAAGTAATAGTTTTACACAATTTAGCTCAGACCCTCCTTTCTTACAGCCTTACTAACTTTATAGACCCCTAACTCCTTACCTAACCACTTCTAGGAATATTTAGATAACCTTCTGCGCTGACAGCTATGCTCAGCCAGAACCCCAGTTCAAGCCTCCCTGTAATTATCATCATTGGCAGCATCCGGCCAGGTCCATCCCCAGATGGAGGAAAGTACCTTATCAGAGATACCTCTGAACTCTAAGAACAGACTTAAACATCCAGGCTACCTGTTTGAGAAGGCCTGACGGATGTGCCAATTAAGCTTTCCCAAATCTTACCTCTGGTTCCAGATCTCCCTTTATCACCAGAGGCATCTACCTGTACACAGGTTGCCTAGTGACTGAGCACACTTTCCCCCATCCTGCAGAAGAATGGCAGATAGCTTGGACAGATAGGAGCTACAGGAAAAAAAGAAGGCAGTTTTATTTTCTACCATTGACCTAGCAACTTATAAATCCTTAACATTTTCTACTAATCACATTTAAGACTATAGTTGAGCACATAAGAGCCCTCTTCTTAGATATTACCTGAATTTAGCCTTTAGTTAATTCATTTCCCCATTGGTCACTTCCCTTGGGGGTTGCAAATGATAATTAACGATTATTGCCTCCCTATGTGATTCTTATCACCCCTCTGTTTGACACTGGAAGCTTGGCTTTGTCCTGCTAAGGGAATACTGCTTGTAAGTGTATATATACCAGGACTTCCAGAGCATGGGAGGATGGAGTAGAGAAAAGAGAATGGGAGAACTAGATGGGTAAGAACTTGAGAGGAACAAACTGAGATGGGGAAGAAGTAGATTGAAGGGCTAGAAGAGAGTACTAGAGAAATGAGATGGAAGATGAGGAAGAGCCAGATGGGGAAGAATAAGACAAGGAAGAACAAGATGAGAGAAAAGGAGATGGGAGAAGAGCTAAGATGGGAAAGAACTAGATGGATGAGAACCTAGAAGGGCAGAACTAGATGAAGGAATTAAGATAGAACCTGGAGGAGACAACAGATAAGTGTAAAGAGAAATTGGGCAAGAAGGGAGCTAAAATGAGAGCGGAGTATAAGCTTGTAGAGAGCGAACTGACAGAATAATAAAGTGTATGGACTAAGAAATTTTGTGTACATAGTTTTATTTCTTTTCTTCAAAGATTAATTATCAGCTGGTTGTAGATTCTTCCCGGACCCTGGGAGGGGACTATTGAGGGGCTGGAGCCCTGTTGTCTCTGATAAGGGAAAGCAAGGTGTGGAACTATCATGGAGAGTGCTGAGAGTGAGGAGCTGTGCAGGGACAGGTTCCTCAAGTCTGGAGAAGCCATCCTCCTGTTTTCCAGTCACCCAGGGTAGGAAGCTGCCCAAGGCTGGAAAAGGAACAGAGGGAACAATATTTGAAACAAATGTATTTTGTGTGCCCAGCAGTCAGAGGGGAATTTTATAAATTCTAGAACATTTTATGGGATATTCAAAAGGTTTTTGCCTTAGTAGTGAGAATGTATTAGTCCTGGTCTAGCCTGGTCTAATAGCTACTCTGATCTTTAACAGAGCTTAAAGACTTGAAAGGGATTAAACAGTTTCTAGATAATTGTGCCACACAAATTAATCCAGGAATTTTTTTAGGAATGTAAACAAATTTAGCATCCAACATGGTAAAATTTACTGGGTTTGACATTCACTCAAAAGTGATCAGCTACGGTGTGGAGAGATGGCTCAGTGATTGAGAGCACTTGCTGCTTTGACAGAGAATCTTCATTTGATTCCCAGCATCTGGCACCCCAAACCATCTGTACCTCCAGGGGCAGGGGATCTGATGGCCTTTCTGGACTCCTACGGCACCAGGCACAGGCATGGTACACATACATACATATAGACAAACACTTGTACATACAAAATAAAAAATAAATAATCTTTGAAAAACCTGATCTGTGAGGCAGTTTGAAAGAGAATGGCCCCCATACGTTCATGTATTTGAATGCCTGGTCCACTGGTGGTGGAACTGTTTGGGAAGGATTGGGAGATGTGGCCTTGTTGGAGGAGGTGTGTCACTTGTTTGAGATGTCAAGAGTCCATGCCATTCCCAATTAGTTCTCTCTCTTTCTGCCTCAAGCTTTCAGATAAGATGTGAGCTCTTGGCTACTGCTCCAGGGCCATGTATGTCTGCTTCCTGCCATGATGGTCATGGACTCTACTACCCTCTGGAACCATGAGCTCCAAATGAAATCATGTCTTTTTTTAAGTTGCCTTGGTCATGGTGTCTCTTCACAGCAATAGAAACGTAACTAAGATAACCTGACATACAAATAAAAAAAATAAAATCTTAAATGAGGAGAAAAATTAATAGAAACAGATCCATAAGTTAGACACGTGATAGAATTAGGAATAAGCACATACAAAAACAGTATGCCTATATTCTATATATGCAACATGATCATAGAAATAAAGCTTATTAAGTGGCAATACAGGAGATATTTTAAAAGGTCTGACTCAAACGTCTATAGTTGAAGGTGAGTGTAGTGCCTCATGCTAATAATTTTAGCACTTGAGAGGCTAAGTCAGAAGAATCAAAAGTTAGAGGCTAGACTATGCTAAAAAAAGAAAGGGAAAAATGTAAGCTTGAAACTAAATGTAAGCTTGAAACTACAATGTCTGGGAAGAAAACAGGAGTGGCAGAGAGGAAAAGCAGTTACAAACCCATCATTTGAAAGTGCTGATGAGGACCTAGGAGGATGGCTTACTGGGTGAATGCTTGTGACAAAAGCGTGAAGGCCTGAGCTCCAGTCCCCAGAAGCCAAGGGAAGCCCCGACAGTAGACCACATCTATAACCCCAGTGTGCCTGTGGCAAACGGGAATCAGACAGAAGAATTCCTGGAAGCTCTCACGCCAGCTAGCCTGGAACACACAGAAGTGAACAGAGACATCAAAAAAGGAGACCCTGCCTCGAGCAAAGTGGAAATGGAACAGCAGCACCCAAGTCTGCCCTCTGACCTTCAAACCCATGCCATTGTGAGTTCACAGGCCTGCATTCACATCTGTGAACGTGCATATACACCATTCTCTTTCACACACAATACAGAAACACAATCTTAAAAATATTGATGAACTTGATGTAACATTAAAATTGTCCACAATAAAACACATAGCTCAAGGCTAGTAAAATGGCCCAGTGGGTAAAGGCACCTGCTGCCAAGCCTGGCTGTCTAAGTGGGGTCTCTGGGACCCATGTAATGGAAGGAGAGACCTGATGCTTAAAGTTGTCCTGACCGCCGTATTAGCACCATGGCAGGCAGGTGTGAACACACACACACACACACACACACACACACACACACATACACACACACACACACTGCATTCTAGTGTGTACATATACATAAAATAAATAAAAGATATAATAATAAAAAATACATAAACTAAAAATAAAATAGACATTGTACCATATACACTTGTGAAAACATCAAGTAACTTAATATACATACTACTAGAGTCTGGAAAATTCAATAGAGATGTGTGAGACCAAAAAAAAAAATTTAAAGAAATAATGGTTGAAATTTTTTCCATATGTGATGAAAAATTTAAAATCCCAAATGCAGGAAACATGAAGAAAACTCTACCAAGGCATGTCAAGTGTCTCATAACTAGTTAGATCCTTGAAAGCCATGGAAAACATACAATGTAAAGCAAGGAACCGATTCCCAAGCAGCAGCATTGGGAACAATGAATGGAGCTGTTTCAGAAACACCAGCCAGGGACAGGGTGGCAGAATCTTTAAATAATGAAGCAAAAAGCAAAGCAAAACAAAACAAACCCTGCCAATCTGGAATCCAATACCCAGGAAAGCTATTTCTCAGAAATAAAGGAGAAACACACAAAGGAGTGTTTGAAATGACTAGCAGAAACTGACTAAGGTCAATAGTTTAATTAACAGTATTGTACTCATTAATTTCCTAACTTTCATGTGACCTGAGATGCCATCCTTGAAAGAAGCAGGTTAAGAGCTCATGACTGACAGTAGTGTACTATTTTGTAAGTTCTGCAACTCCAAAGAACATCAAAATTAAGGTTTTAAATATTAAAATTAAACAAAGCCTTTGCCAGCATACTTCGACAAGAGATTAAATGAAGAGGTTTATGGAGAAGCAAAAATAATATTCAAACTAAAATGAGATCTAAAAGAATGAAGGGCTGCAAAGATAGCACATTTGTGGGTAAATATAAATGTGTATTTTAGATATCTGTCTAAAAATGACAGGTCAAGGCTAAGTAAGATATTACTAATGTGTCATAAAATAGGATGTTAGCTATATGGAAATAAAATACATAACAAAAACTGCACAGAGACCGACAGGCAGGTGTGCTGCGGGGCGGGGCTTGTACTATTTTGTGTACAAAATAGTGTAATATCATCTGACAGTGGGTAAATGTAAACTTATTCTGTAAAGTCTAAGCCACTGAAATAAAACATCAGCTTCAAAAATCCAACCCAAGAAAGAGGAAGAGTGGAAGGGAAGAAAAGAGGAAAGAAGGAATAAATGGAAAGCAGGTAAGAATGACAGATGGACCCAAGTGTACCTACGGCCACATTCAGTGTTAATGTGTGAGCAATTCAATTAAAAAGTGAAAGTTGTCATGTGGATTAAAAAGCAAACCTCAACACTAAAAAACCTCACTTTAAGTATATAGATACCAAAAAAGTGGGAAATAAAAGAATAGAAAAATACCATGTAAGCAAAGATTATCACTAGAGATAAAGAATGTGTTTAGATTTCTGAAGCTAATTTTCCAGAGGAAAAGAACCCCAAACATATGCATGCATGTGTGCATCGTATACACATATATGGAGAGAGATTTCTTTTTCTAGGGGAGTAGCTCACATATGTTTGGAGGTGGAGGAGGGCCATGATCTATGGATGGCAGACTGGAGACCCAGTAGAGCTGATGGCCAAATACCTCAGCTCAAGTCTGAAACCTGATGGAAAAAGAAAAAAGACAAAAACATGCTCCACTTCAAAGCCACTCAGGCAGGAGGGATTTTTTTTTTCTTTTTCCCAGAGGGACAGATTGTTTTAAGGCCTTCCACAGACTGGGTGAGATGCGCCTACATCAGAGAGAGCAGTATGCTTTAGTCAGCCTACCGATTTAAAAGAGAAACTCATCCCAAATCACTTACAGACACATGCAGAATGATGTCTAACCCCATATCTGGCCCTTGTGGTATAGTCAGGTTGACTCCTGAAACCAGTCACCACAAAGAGTCACTTCGTAATTATAGTCTGTGTAACCAAAGGATGTAGTGACTTTAATCAGCTTAAAATAGGGTGAGGTAGAGCTTTGGATCTTGCTAGTCCTTGGTACTTACGGGGCTAAGGCAAGATGATTCCTTGAGTGAGGTCCATGGCCAACTTGGGTAACAGCAAAGCTGTGTCTGTTTAAAGTTAATAAATAAGCCAAGTGTGGTTGTATATGTCTGCAATGCCAACACTGAAAATGGAGGCAGGAAGGAAGTTATCCTCTGCCCCAAAGCTTGTTTGAGGCTATCCTAGACTACATGAGACCCTATCTAAAATAGATAAGTACATACATACATACATACATACATACATACATACATACATACTGCTTGGTATCACTATATTAATGATAAAATGAGACTTATATTCAAAAAGCATTGTCATTGACTAAAAAAACAGTCAAAATAATAATAACAGTAAATTTTTTAAAATGTACTATGCCTGCTGGTGGCACACACCTTTAATCCCAGCACTCAGGAGGCAGAGGCAAACTCTCTGTGAGTTTGAGGACAGCCTGGTCTACAGAGTGAGTTCCAGGACAGCCAGGGCTACACAGAGAAACTGTCTCAAAAAACCAAACCAAAACAAAACAAAACAAAAGGTACTATATGCCATTAGGTAGATATAAATCAATGTTTAAACACCTCCTAACAGAAGTCGGAAGTGCACCAGGCAGGGCCAGAGGTGAGACTTGGTGGTAGAGAGCCTATCCAGAGCATGCCAGCCTCTGAGTTTTATTCTTAGCACCAGAAAAAGAAAGAAAACCAAGCAAAACTGATCCAAATGAAAATCAAACAAATTCACAGCTTTGAATGGAAGCTCCAAGTGCTCCTCTTTAGTTGCCCATGGACTAGGTAGACAGCAGATGAGTGAGGACAAAGGACAGCGTGATTAGTTAGAAGAGAGGGCCCCAAACGGCACAGTCAGCACGCTTTTCAAATGGACTGTCTTCCTAGCCACTCAAGTCATCTATCAGCTTAGCTTCCAACATGAAAAGTAATTCAAGCCACGCATACTTTACTTTCTGATGATGATGAAGTCAAGCTAGAAATACATAACAGAATAATACCTGGAA